AGTTTTGACCTTGGCATTCCACCGCTCGACCACATCTAGCAGGTGTGATATGTTCTCTGCAGGCTCCCAAGTGTGGTTCCATTCTACCAGGTAGTACATTTTGCCATTCTTAAATTCTTGCCCATGGATATCGGAAACACCCCATTCACACTGCATTGCGTCATCCATCTGAACGTCCAGGCTTGGTTCTTTCTCTTGTAGGAAAGTTTTACCGCCGTGTATATCAGAGGCCGCCAATGACGGGCCGCTGATAATCTCGGGGGAAGTGCTCAAAGTTTGGCTCGGCACGCTGTCTGAGGTGAGGTTGAGATCGCACGCCTTACCGATTGAGCCAGGGTGCCCGTCTGCAATATCAACGACATGATTGACTTCGAAGTTACTGGGGGGATTTTCTTGAGTTCCCTGGAGCGTCTCACTGCACCCACTGTGCGCTTCGTGATTGACGGGTCCTAGTGGTTCCATCGGAGGGGCTTCAACGACGAGGTCAGAGGTGCGGCTTGCTGAGGTGCCTATCGATAGTGCATCGTGACTGCCTGTCTCCGCGTGTGTTGGTGATTCAACTGTTGCGATTTCTTGTGTCTTATCATCTCTCCCTTTCTTCCCTTTCAATTTCGCGTAAGCGACACCATCAAATGGCGTTATAAATTTTAGCTGCACAGGCATAATGAAAGGACTCGAGACACAGAGAATGATGTTTGAAGAGGGATAAGGATGTCAAAGCAGTGGCTGACAGGGTTTTTATAATTGAGGCAATGCACCCTGGCCTACTGAGCGGTAATGTGTCATCAACATGATAACTACTTGGAAGTTGCAACCGCTCCAGAGTTAGCCTTTTTTCCAAGGAGGTTAACAATGGGAACCGGTTTGAAAAGTCCATTTCTGCATAAAGCATGATATTCGATTGTGGAAAGATAGACGACTTAATTCCCGTCTCGCGAGCCATCTACTGGTTACCAGCACCCACAAGTGTGGCTTCCATCCTTAATTTGGAAGAGTTCCTACTGACTGCCCTTCTTTCTTTTTGGTTTACCACTTCCTCTTTT